CATCCAAATCTTCAATAATTCTATCAGAAATGGTTTCGAGAAGTTTCCAAAAGAGTCAGCAAAACGGAGATATGATCAAAATTTCAAAACAACCCATCAAATATGACATTTATACTTAAGATTCGACATATCCGAATCACAAATATTTAACCATTGTATTAGATCTAAACGGAACACGTTTTGTGGATCTTTATTCAAAGTGGTTTACTAACAATCAATGTGCAAGAGATCCTTAATAAGAATCTGAATAACTTTTGTTTTCACTCGTTGTAGAACTACACAGTTGTTTTTTAAGATCAAATGGGTTTCCGATTTCGAAATTTCGGAAAACATTTCTTTTGCTAAAACTAACTAAAATCAGTTAGTGTTGCAATTTGCAAAAAAAAATCCAAAAAATCAAAAAAAAATATTTAACTACAAATAAATAAATAAAAAAATAATAATAATAAATAAATTAGAATGTAGCATCACATCTTGTTTGTCGGCTTTTAGTAGCCGTTTAATTCTAGACTCAATAAAATATGATCTTAATTGCAAAACATGTTTGTTAATAAAATGCAGAACTTAAAATTAATTACGTTTAAAAAAAATTCCCCCATTTTATTTCAGGCAACTAAATACTAGTCTATGGCATAATCTGCTTTTAGTAACAATCAACACTGTAACCCATATTTCCGCATATAGTTATGCCCAAGCAGACAGTTTTGCAGCGGAGACACTAGTCAGACCTGCCTATAAGAGACCACCACCGGTTAGTAGATATAAAGATCTGATAAAAATATATGAAGGAAAAAATTTAGAATTTGCCTTCCCATCGGAAAGTGTGCGTAATGCGGCATTAAATAGCGGGCAATATGATCCAGATCATCCTATACCTATCGATGTGGATGTTTACTATCCAAGTGAGTATGAAGTGGAGTGTTTAATTGGAATCATTATATTAATATGTTTTAAATTTTATAGAAAATTCGGATGAACCCACAGTTTTCATAACCATACCAAGATTTGGCAGTGGTGTACCCTATTCATTGGCCACATTGACAGATGTTCAACGTCCAAATGGTTCAGAATTCCAACCGTATCCCGACTACTCATGGCATAGTTCTCATGGACAAGATTGTGATGGTTTGACATCGGTTTATCGCATACAAGTGAGTGAAAATAATTCGACCCGAATATTTTAAGATTTTATTTTTGATTTTGATTCTGATCAAGGACACTGGGATCAAATTAGGCCATTCAATATCTCGATATTTCAATAAAATTTTAACGAAAATTTCGATACTTTTCGAATGCCGTAGCTTTAATATTTTTCTATCTTCGTAGATCGATGCCTGTGGACGCATGTGGATATTAGACAGTGGTGAAATAGAGTTCGTTCAACATTGTCAACCACAAGTGGTGGTAATCGACATTCAAACAGGAACTATGGTTCATCGCTATCGTTTACCCCCGAAAGTTTTTAGAACTGGTGTAAGCCGCTTTGTAACACCACTTGTCGACATTGACGATCCCCCACCATTGGGTACCTGTTCCAAGGCATTTGTTTATATGGCTGATGCCACCGGTACTTCTTTAATTGTTTATGATGTTGTGAATGATGATTCTTGGCGCATTGAAAACCGATACACTTTTCCCGATCCCGACTTTAGTAAACATACAATAGCTGGCGAAAGTTTTGAACTATTGGATGGCGTCTTTGGTCTATCGATGACACCCAGAGGTTTGGGTTTGAGGCGATTACTATATTTTCATGCTCTATCAAATGATGCTCAAGTAGCAGTTCCCTTGGATGTGATAAATAATTCGTCAAACTTTGGTTTTGGTTTAGCTTCGTCACTACATGAATTTCAGTTGTTGGGTCATAGGGGTGTACAGTGTGCCGCTTCTGCTATGTCAGCAAATGGTTTCTTATTGTGTGGTTTCTTAGAACCCATTGCTTTAATCGGCTGGAATATACGTACTCCCTATACGCCCCGTAATCGAATGATATTGGCTGAAAATCCTGAAACTCTACAATTCATAAGTGGTCTTAAGGTGATACGTAATCCGAGGGGTAAAGAAGAGGTGTGGATGCTATCGAATCGTTTGCAAAAGACTTTTAGTGGTACCACCGATTTTACGGAGATAAATTATCGCATACAAAAATGTGGTATGGATGAGTTATTATTGGGTAAAAAGTGTCGAAATTAAAGGAATTTGATGATACGAAATTGTACCTACTACTATAACTATAATAATGTATAACATTTTTTATGGAATAAATCAATTTTTGTAATTTTTTTCGTTAAAACCAAAAAAAAACACATGTTTTTCTGACTAATATTCTCTTAATTTATGATCTACTATAAAATCAGGGTTCTTATGGAAAGAAAGAAAAGAACGTGTTAGAAAAACAATTTCTATACAATTTCATGGTTGTTATATTAACGTTATTTTTCACGGACTTAAGTGGTTTCTCTCTTTTCTTTATTTTTGGGAAAACAAAAATGTGTGAACATTTCTTCCTCTATACGGTAGGTAATTTTAAGAATTGTGATGTTTATCCCTTTTTTTACCAAAAAAAAAAGACCTTTCTCATCTTTTGACATTTGTAATAACTCTTAGCCACACTGCGCCATAACAAAATGCAACAGGCTAATAGACGGCCCCTATGAGACAACCATATAGTATTTTTTTATATAAAATTTCATGATTATAATCAGGTAGAGGTGTTTCCATAAAATATGTAATATTTAGAAAAATGCAAAGACTACAGAATAGGACCAGACTAGTGTGGACTATTGTCAGGATTATAGTCCATTCTATAGTCTGGACTAGAGTATATTCTATACGTTGGACTAAAGCCTAGTCTATAGTCTGCAGAACAGTCTAGTTTAAAGTCTGGCTTACAGTAAAGTTTATATTCTGGACTATAACCTACTTAATAGTCTATAATATGGACAATAGTCTGTACTATAGTCTAGTCTATGGTCAGGGCTATATAATGGACCATTGACTGGTCTACAGTCTGGACTACAGTCTAGTCTACAGTCTGGACTATAGTCTAGTCTATGGTCAGGGCTATAGTCTGGACAATAGGAGGTAGTTCAGACTATAGGCAAGACTATAGTGCAGACTGTAGAATGGACCATTGACTAGACTATAGTACGGACTATAGACTAAATTATAGGCATTACTTGTCTATAATCTAGACTAGTCTATTTTAGTCTAGTCGGGACTATAGTCTGAACTATGGCCTATAGTCTAGTCGATATTGTGGACTACAGTCTGGACTATAGATTAGTATTTAGCCTTTAGACTATAGATTAGCCTTTAGCCCTTAGACTATTGTCTGGACTATAGTCTAGACTAAAGTCTGGACTATTGTCTAGTCTATAGTTTGGACTATTGTCTAGTCTATAGTCTAGTCTGTAGTCCAGTCTAGTCTATAGTCTGGACTATAGGCTTGTATATCGATTAGACCATAATCTTGTCTATAGTCTGGACTAAAGTTAAGTCTATAATCTGGAATATATTATAGTATATAGTCTGAAGCATAGTTCAATCCGTATTCTTTTTATCGAGTCTAAAATTTTCGAAAATTAAATTAAACTTTTCAATCAGTTATGGAAACACCCATATTAATTGCTTATACACAAAAAAACTTATGCGGCATCAATAAAAAGGAATCAAATGTTCCCAGCAATAACAACAACAACAGCAACAATACAAAGAATAATGTTTATATTGATCTTTAAAGAATAAAACAAAATGTTCTTACTAAAGAGACAACTAACATACAACAGGCAATCATACATTCCTATTTACAGTCACATACTCGTCGTACATCATATAAAGAAACTGAAAAACTACCAGTCCAAGACAAAACTTACTAATGCAGCTAATAAGTGGAAATAAAACCCAAAAAAAAAAAGAAGGAGTTGAAGGAAAGAAACTCTCACACTTGTTAAGCGGATAAAATAACAACAAATGTCTTTTAGAAAAGGGTAACTTGACATGAAATGTTATTTAAAGTATCATCTGGACTAAGCTATGGACAATATACCGATCTATAGTCTGGTCTATAGTGTAGATAATAGTCTGGCGTAAAGTCTTTCTATAATTTGGGACTGTACTATAGTCTGGTCTAAAGTCTGGACCGTATTCTGGCCTAAAGTCTACACTAAAGTTTGAACTCTATTTAGGAATATAGCCTGATACATGCTTTAGATTACATTCTGACCCAAAGTATGGATTAATTCTATAGTTAGAACTATATACAGCCTGGTCTATAGTCTGAACTATTTTCTGAGCTATAGTTCTGATTATAGTCTGGTCTATAGTATGTGCTATAACCAAGTCTATAGTCTCGAGTTAGTCTAGTTTATAGTAAATTTTCTTAACCACAACTTTTCAAAACACCTTTTTTAACAACATTATTGTTTGGTAAGAACTTGAAACAGTCGTAAGATAAACAACCATAGATAAAGGGCATAAATAGTCAATTAGAACTTGTTAGCGCCTAAATACACACTGATCTTCACGATTTTTTTCCTCTGCTAACACACTAATATGTAAGTACTTGTAACGAGACAAGTGTACAATATGTTTTATGTTCTTCTAGGTTCTTGAGAAGATTCTGCTGTGTACATGATGAGCGCACAACAAAATCAAAATTGAATGGTTTGTTTAGATTAGAATTCTTTCTATATTTATTTAGTTTCATTCAAACAGACAAGCAGCCAACTAGCCAGACAGACCGTACCAAAAGGGAGACAGAGAGAGAAAGAGAGAAAATTATTTGATAAAGGGGTTTCCTTCATGTCTGGTTGATTGTTGTTTTTTTTTTTTTTCTCTATATGTTGCATGCTGTTGTCTTGTTAGAAAGATCGAAGCTGGGTTAGATGGATAATGATCTGTTTGGTTCGTTGGAGTTTTTTTGTGTTATACTCTGTTGTTTTGTAATAAAAATCTTAAGTTTTAACTTACTTCAATTTCAGTTGGTATTTGTTGAAGGTGTGGTAAAGACGTGCCGTGCCCAGTTGCTATTATAACTGCCTTTCTTGAAGAAAAATGTGTAGTTTTATATTGTGTTCATTTATAAGCTTAATCCTTTTCATTTCGATATTGGAGTGTCAAGGAAATGTATTGCGCCAAAGACAATTTTATACGCTACATCAATGGTCTCATGGCATAAATATGGCATTTCCAACTGTAATTGATAGAGAATTTGCGGTTAATAATTCTTATTATGATGTTAATCGTATACAATTGCCGGTAGATCTAGATGTGGAGTATAAAGGTAAATAATTTAATAACTCATTTACACACTAAAGTAGTAGTCTATAGTCTGGACTATAGTCTAGTGGACTAGTCTATAGTCTGGACTATAGTCTGGACTATAGTCTAGTCTATAGTCCGGTCTATAGTCTAGTCTATAGTCCGGTCTATAGTCTGGACTATAGCCTAGTCTATAGTCTGGACTATAGTCCAGTCTATAGTCTAATCTATAGTACAGTCTATAGTCTGGACTATAGTATAGTCTATAGTCTGGACTATAGTGTAGTCTATAGTCTGGACTATAGTATAGTCTATAGTCTGGACTATAGTATAGTCTATAGTCTGGACTATAGTCTAGTCTATAGTTTGGACTATAGTCTAGTCTATAGTCTGGACTAAATTCAAGTCTATAGCCCGGACTATAGTCTAGTCTATTGTTTGGAGTATGGTCTGGTCTATAGTTTGGACTATAGTCTAGTCTATAGTTTGGACTATAGTCAGTCTATAGTTTGGACTATAGTTTAATCTATAGTCTGGACTGTAGCCTAGTCAATAGTCTATAGTATAGTCTATAGTTTGGACTATAGTCTAGTCTAGTCTGGACTATAGTCTAGTCTATAGTTTGGACTATAATTTAGCCTATAGTCTGGATTATAATCTAGTCTATAGTCTGGACTATAGTCTAACCTATAGTCTGGACTAAAGTCTAGTCAATCGTTTGGATTATATTCTAGTAAATTGTCTGGACTAGAGTCTAGCCTATAGACTGGACTATATAGTCCAATCTTTAGTCCAGTCTATAGTCTAATCGCATACCTTGAATATAGTTTAGAAAATAACCTGGTCTATTGTCCGAACATTTTTTAATATAAAATTTCATTTATGTAGAAAATAATAAACATCGAATCTTTCTCACAATTCCTCGATTAAATTTTGGAGTACCTTACTCACTGGCCACTATATTAGAAGAAGATCAAAATATTACAAACAATCCAAGAGTGACAGCATATCCCAGCTATGATTGGCACAAAAGTCATGGTTTAAATTGTACTTCCATAACATCGGCACTAAGAACTTATGTAAGTACTACATCAAATACTAGTACATCTCTTAAACTAAATAATTCTTTGTTCTCACTCCCTCATTTTAACAGATCGATGAATGTGGCCGATTATGGGTTATAGATTCAGGACAAATCAATTCTCTGCAATGGTGTGCTCCCCAACTTTTAGTGTTCGACTTAAATACAGATGAATCGATACATCGTTACAAACTTCCTAGTAATAATTATAAAGCCGGTATTTCGGTTTATACCGATATGGTAGCCGATGTCAAGTCTGCGGAAGAATGTTTAGATACAACCGTCTATATATCAGATGCTTGGGGTCATGGTTTAATTGTTTACAATATGTTAAAGGATAAATCTTGGCGCATAGAACATGAACTTATGAAACCAGATAAAACTTTTCGAAATAATGTTCATGATGGCATATTTACTGTTAGTTTAAGTCCAAAAAATTACAAAATGGCGGGTAATTGTTTGATTTAAACGGAACAATAGATAAATATTACTAATTATCTTCATTCTTACTTACAGAACGTTATTTATATTTTCATTCTTTGAATAGTTTCACTGAAATACGCATTCCCTTAAAATATGTTAATAACGAGTCGCTGTGGTATTATCCTAAAGGCTATACTTTAATAGATAAATATTTTACCACTTTAGGCTCTCGAGGTCTTCAATGTGAATCTGAAACTATGGATAATTATGGAAATTTATATTGCAGTATTATAGGTTCAAGTGCTTTGATACGGTGGAAAGAGGGTAGAAATTATACGGCAGATGATTTGAATGTTGTGGCTTATGGTCCGCAACAATGGCGTTTTGTTACGGGTCTAAAGCTAAGTGCAAATCAACATAATGAACAGGAGTTGTGGGCTTTAAGCACAGAGCCAAGGGTAAGATTTTGAATATGAACTTTGTAAATTTAAAATATTTTCATCCACTTAAATTTTAGCTTTTTGTTGGCAATACTGTTCAGAAGGATCTAATAATGTATCAAATTATGGGCTGTCGTGTTCGTAATCTGTTACGTTCGGAAATTTGTACAATCGACATTAATGATGTGTAAATTAGTATTTAAGATGAAATTGTAAATACATATTATTAAGTAGTAATTGAATTGAAATTATTGGAATTATGGGAAAACACGTGGGAAAATAGTACAATCTAGTCAAGTCTATAGCCTAGCGGCTAGTCTACTACTAATACTCAAAAACAAAACTTCTTACTTTACTGCTTATTTGCAGGCGATCGCATTATAATTAAAATCTGTGATCATTCATAATGTAAATAAATTTACTTCAAAAATCGATTTTTTTGGTCAAAATCTTAAATCGCTTATAACTTCGTTAAAACACGTTTAAATTGAAAAATAAGCTAATTTTGTGATCACCCATATTTTCCTTCAAAAATCGTTTTTTTTTGGTCGAAATCTTAAATCGTTTATAACTTGTTTAAAACACGTTTAAATTGAAAAATAAGCTTATTTTGTGATCACCCATATTTTCCTTCAAAAATCGATTTTTTTGGTCGAAATCTTAAATCGCTTATAACTTCGTTAAAACACGTTTAAATTGAAAAATAAGCTTATTTTGTGATCATCCATATTTTCCTTTAAAAATCGCTTATAACTTCGTTAAAACACGTTTAAATTGAAAAATAAGCTTATTTTGTGATCACCCATATTTTCCTTCGAAAATCGATTTTTTTACGAAAATCTTAAATCGCTTATAACTTCGTTAAAACACGTTTAAATTGAAAAATAAGCTTATTTTGTGATCACCCATATTTTCCTTCAAAAATCGATTTTTTTGGTCGGAATCTTAAATCGCTTATAACTTCGTTAAAACACGTTTAAATTGAAAAATAAGCTTATTTTGTGATCACCCATATTTTCCTTCGAAAATCGATTTTTTTACGAAAATCTTAAATCGCTTATAACTTCGTTAAAACACGTTTAAATTGAAAAATAAGCTTATTTTGTGATCACCCATATTTTCCTTCAAAAATCGATTTTTTTGGTCGGAATCTTAAATCGCTTATAACTTCGTTAAAACACGTTTAAATTGAAAAATAAGCTAATTTTGTGATCACCCATATTTTCCTTCGAAAATCGATTTTTTTACGAAAATCTTAAATCGCTTATAACTTCGTTAAAACACGTTTAAATTGAAAAATAAGCTTATTTTGTGATCACCCATATTTTCCTTCAAAAATCGATTTTTTTAGTCGGAATCTTAAATCGCTTATAACTTCGTTAAAACACGTTTAAATTGAAAAATAAGCTTATTTTGTGATCACCCATATTTTCCTTCAAAAATCGATTTTTTTGGTCGGAATCTTAAATCGCTTATAACTTCGTTAAAACACGTTTAAATTGAAAAATAAGCTTATTTTGTGATCACCCATATTTTCCTTCGAAAATCGATTTTTTGGTCAAAATCTTAAATCGCTTATCGCTTCGTTAAAACACGTTTAAATTGAAAAATAAACTTATTTTGTGATCACCCATATTTTCCTTCAAAAATCGATTTTTTTGGTAAAAATCTTAAATCGCTTATAACTTCGTTAAAACACGTTTAAATTGAAAAATAAGCTTATTTTGTTTTGTGATCACCCATATTTTCCTTCAAAAATCGATTTTTTTGGTCGGAATCTTAAATCGCTTATAACTTCGTTAAAACACGTTTAAATTGAAAAATAAGCTTATTTTGTGATCACCCATATTTTCCTTCGAAAATCGATTTTTTTACGAAAATCTTAAATCGCTTATAACTTCGTTAAAACACGTTTAAATTGAAAAATAAGCTTATTTTGTGATCACCCATATTTTCCTTCAAAAATCGATTTTTTTGGTCGGAATCTTAAATCGCTTATAACTTCGTTAAAACACGTTTAAATTGAAAAATAAGCTAATTTTGTGATCACCCATATTTTCCTTCGAAAATCGATTTTTTTACGAAAATCTTAAATCGCTTATAACTTCGTTAAAACACGTTTAAATTGAAAAATAAGCTTATTTTGTGATCACCCATATTTTCCTTCAAAAATCGATTTTTTTAGTCGGAATCTTAAATCGCTTATAACTTCGTTAAAACACGTTTAAATTGAAAAATAAGCTTATTTTGTGATCACCCATATTTTCCTTCGAAAATCGATTTTTTTACGAAAATCTTAAATCGCTTATAACTTCGTTAAAACACGTTTAAATTGAAAAATAAGCTTATTTTGTGATCACCCATATTTTCCTTCAAAAATCGATTTTTTTGGTCGGAATCTTAAATCGCTTATAACTTCGTTAAAACACGTTTAAATTGAAAAATAAGCTTATTTTGTGATCACCCATATTTTCCTTCGAAAATCGATTTTTTTACGAAAATCTTAAATCGCTTATAACTTCGTTAAAACACGTTTAAATTGAAAAATAAGCTTATTTTGTGATCACCCATATTTTCCTTCAAAAATCGATTTTTTTGGTCGGAATCTTAAATCGCTTATAACTTCGTTAAAACACGTTTAAATTGAAAAATAAGCTAATTTTGTGATCACCCATATTTTCCTTCGAAAATCGATTTTTTTGGTCGGAATCTTAAATCGCTTATAACTTCGTTAAAACACGTTTAAATTGAAAAAGTAAGCTTATTTTGTGATCACCCATATTTTCCTTCAAAAATCGATTTTTTTGGTCGGAATCTTAAATCGCTTATAACTTCGTTAAAACACGTTTAAATTGAAAAATAAGCTTATTTTGTGATCACCCATATTTTCCTTCGAAAATCGATTTTTTTACGAAAATCTTAAATCGCTTATAACTTCGTTAAAACACGTTTAAATTGAAAAATAAGCTTATTTTGTGATCACCCATATTTTCCTTCAAAAATCGATTTTTTTGGTCGGAATCTTAAATCGCTTATAACTTCGTTAAAACACGTTTAAATTGAAAAATAAGCTAATTTTGTGATCACCCATATTTTCCTTCGAAAATCGATTTTTTTACGAAAATCTTAAATCGCTTATAACTTCGTTAAAACACGTTTAAATTGAAAAATAAGCTTATTTTGTGATCACCCATATTTTCCTTCAAAAATCGATTTTTTTGGTCGGAATCTTAAATCGCTTATAACTTCGTTAAAACACGTTTAAATTGAAAAATAAGCTAATTTTGTGATCACCCATATTTTCCTTCGAAAATCGATTTTTTTACGAAAATCTTAAATCGCTTATAACTTCGTTAAAACACGTTTAAATTGAAAAATAAGCTTATTTTGTGATCACCCATATTTTCCTTCAAAAATCGATTTTTTTAGTCGGAATCTTAAATCGCTTATAACTTCGTTAAAACACGTTTAAATTGAAAAATAAGCTTATTTTGTGATCACCCATATTTTCCTTCGAAAATCGATTTTTTTACGAAAATCTTAAATCGCTTATAACTTCGTTAAAACACGTTTAAATTGAAAAATAAGCTTATTTTGTGATCACCCATATTTTCCTTCAAAAATCGATTTTTTTGGTCGGAATCTTAAATCGCTTATAACTTCGTTAAAACACGTTTAAATTGAAAAATAAGCTTATTTTGTGATCACCCATATTTTCCTTCGAAAATCGATTTTTTTACGAAAATCTTAAATCGCTTATAACTTCGTTAAAACACGTTTAAATTGAAAAATAAGCTTATTTTGTGATCACCCATATTTTCCTTCAAAAATCGATTTTTTTGGTCGGAATCTTAAATCGCTTATAACTTCGTTAAAACACGTTTAAATTGAAAAATAAGCTAATTTTGTGATCACCCATATTTTCCTTCGAAAATCGATTTTTTTACGAAAATCTTAAATCGCTTATAACTTCGTTAAAACACGTTTAAATTGAAAAATAAGCTTATTTTGTGATCACCCATATTTTCCTTCAAAAATCGATTTTTTTGGTCGGAATCTTAAATCGCTTATAACTTCGTTAAAACACGTTTAAATTGAAAAATAAGCTTATTTTGTGATCACCCATATTTTCCTTCAAAAATCGTTTTTTTTTGGTCGAAATCTTAAATCGTTTATAACTTGTTTAAAACACGTTTAAATTGAAAAATAAGCTTATTTTGTGATCACCCATATTTTCCTTCAAAAATCGATTTTTTTGGTCGAAATCTTAAATCGCTTATAACTTCGTTAAAACACGTTTAAATTGAAAAATAAGCTTATTTTGTGATCATCCATATTTTCCTTTAAAAATCGCTTATAACTTCGTTAAAACACGTTTAAATTGAAAAATAAGCTTATTTTGTGATCACCCATATTTTCCTTCAAAAGTCGATTTTTTTTTTGGTCGGAATCTTAAATCGCTTATAACTTCGTTAAAACACGTTTAAATTGAAAAATAAGCTTATTTTGTGATCACCCATATTTTCCTTCGAAAATCGATTTTTTTACGAAAATCTTAAATCGCTTATAACTTCGTTAAAACACGTTTAAATTGAAAAATAAGCTTATTTTGTGATCACCCATATTTTCCTTCAAAAATCGATTTTTTTGGTCGGAATCTTAAATCGCTTATAACTTCGTTAAAACACGTTTAAATTGAAAAATAAGCTAATTTTGTGATCACCCATATTTTCCTTCGAAAATCGATTTTTTTACGAAAATCTTAAATCGCTTATAACTTCGTTAAAACACGTTTAAATTGAAAAATAAGCTTATTTTGTGATCACCCATATTTTCCTTCAAAAATCGATTTTTTTAGTCGGAATCTTAAATCGCTTATAACTTCGTTAAAACACGTTTTAATTGAAAAATAAGCTTATTTTGTGATCACCCATATTTTCCTTCGAAAATCGATTTTTTTGGTCGGAATCTTAAATCGCTTATAACTTCGTTAAAACACGTTTAAATTGAAAAATAAGCTTATTTTGTGATCACCCATATTTTCCTTCAAAAATCGATTTTTTTGGTAAAAATCTTAAATCGCTTATAACTTCGTTAAAACACGTTTAAATTGAAAAATAAGCTTATTTTGTTTTGTGATCACCCATATTTTCCTTCAAAAATCGATTTTTTTGGTCGGAATCTTAAATCGCTTATAACTTCGTTAAAACACGTTTAAATTGA